TGGAATATATGCTTTTTTTCCCCTCTCCTTTCCCCTTTGCACAGTGAATTTTCCCAGCTCATTGTTTCAGAGCTTTGCAGAGGATTCATAAAACATTGGTCTCTCATTGTCAGGGGTAGGAGCTCTTTCACTCTCCTCTGAGGAAAGTCATCAGTACTGTGGGGATGAGAAGACCTAAATTTTATAAATGCAGGCACTAGGTTCTGCACATTCTCCTGTTTGGTGAGCACAGCTCCATCTGTAGGTGCCCAGCTGGCCCTGTCATGTCTACATCCTCTTGCAACAACCATATGTTTGATTTAAATATGAGCATATATGCATGTCCCTGGGATGTTATTTCTTACTGTTTATCTGCCTTTGGATATTTATCTATGAATGCCATCAAAAAGGGCAGATTCTGCTGGAAGTGTGACCCTCATCCATGCTCTTGCTCCAGGTGGGAGCCCAGAAGAGGGAACATCCATGGATCAGCCAAAGCAGTTTTAGTGCTCCACGTGGCTACAGCCAGAATTAAACTGTGCCTTAGAATGGATTTAACCACTGAGACTGCCTCCAAAAAAGGCTTTTTCTATAGCAGCCTGTTGGGGTGGCAAAGTGTCTTAATAAACTCCTACAGATGGCCAATGTCAAAGCCAATCTACTTTTTCAAGCCCTTAGGAGGGGAAGAAGAACAGACTGAGGATTGCAGCCACCCTCTGCTGTTTTCTTCTCCTGTGCTGACATGGCACAAATGTGCACATGGACATTTCTGCTTTATATGGAGAGAATTGATGTATTTGTTGTGACTTCTCTTCAAAATTCCTGTGGTCTCTGTTCCCCTGGCTTGATGGAGCCAGCACTGCTTGTCAACTCTCAAAATATTTGGCCTGGTTCTGATCTAATGCAGTGTAAATCTGAGCAGTGCCACTGATGCCAACTGAGTTGTTCCAGAATGGAGCAGTTGTGAAATCCCATTTGCCTGTGGAGTACAGCAGGAGCATTGCATTTGTTTGGAGTTTGGTGTGAGAGAGGGAAAGCCTTTGCTGAACAGAATAATCCTGAATTTGTGCTTAATTACACATTAGTGTAAATGCATTTACAGCCACACAGAACCACACACATGCATTTTCCAAGATGGGGTGCCTGGCTTTGGGACTCACTGGCTTCCCTCCCAAGGGGGAAGCCTCAGGCTGATTTTTTTTAGAAAACAAGCAATTTTGCTTACCCACCCAAAGTAGACTTAATTTGTCTAGCTGTTCACTGAAAAAACAGAAGAATAATGCATTCTGTTCACTGCTTGGAAGGGTTTTGTGCTAAATGTCCTCCCCTGTGTCCCCAGATTATCGACCCCAAGATGCCACGTGAGGGTTTGCTGCACAATGGAGTCCCCATCCCTGTGCCCCCCATGGATGTCCTGAAGCTGGGGGAGCAGAGGCAGACAGAGGCAGGAGAAAAACTCTTCCTTGTCCTTTTCTTTGACAACAAGAGAACCTGGTGAGTGTGTGCACACAGCTCCGTGGTGAGTGTGAGTGAGGAGGTTTAACATGATCTTTGGGATGGGGAGCATGCAGGGATTATGTTGATGTTACATGTAAATGGGGGAACTTAAACATGCAGAGAGAAGTCTGTGCTCAGAAGGAATTTTGGCTGCAGGGGCTTCTTTTATGTCAAATACAGGGATTTAAACATTTGTACCTCTGTTGTGGGGCGGTGATGATGAATTAATGCATCACATGGCTGTAACTGCTCCTGGGGAGGGGGTGACAGCTCTGTGCCCTCCTCTGTGCTGCAGGCAGTGGCTGCCACGGGACAAAGTGTTTCCCCTGGGCGTGGATGACACCGTGGACAAGCTGAAGATGATGGAGGGACGCAAAACCAGCATCCGCAAGTCGGTGCAGGTGGCCTACGACCGAGCCATGATCCACCTGAGCAGAGTGCAGGGGGACAACCCCTTCCTGCCAGCCACCTACCTGTGAGGGGCTCTGCTCCTGCTCCTCCAGGCCTCCAGCTCACTGCACTGCCAGTGCAGCACCTCCAGCAGCTGTCAGCACGCCTCGGAGTACCCTGAAATGTGCCAAAAAAAACAAACCTTGTCCGGCTTCTTCCTGAATGTGTCTTGCTGAAGAGCTGGCAGGAGATGAAATGTAGTCTGCAGGGAGTGAGGTAGGTAGGAGAAGCTGACAGGTGACAGGAGCCAAGGTGAGTTGCTGCAGTGAGCAGAGCACACAGCACTTGGATGTTGGGACCTCGTGCGCCGTCCCCTGCCTCTCTGGACTGCCAGGGTTTTGAGTTGTCAGCCAGTCCCAGGTAATTCCTGGGAACCTGACACCCCCAGGATTCTTGACAGAAATCCCAACTGGACTTTCTTGTGCCAAATTTACCCATACCATCATTGGCCTTTTCATTTTTCTTTAAATGACATTGTCCTGTCACATAAAAACTGCACAGAATCGTAGCTGGGAGCTCTGACTGTGTGACTCTCCTGCCTACCTACATTGTGTTTTCATGTTTAGATTTCTCTCATTGCGTTTAGAAAAGCTTGAGATTTTGGTAACCTTCCCCCCCTGCACAGTTTCGTGCACAGATGCACAGAGCTTTAAAGATGAAAATCACATGACCTGATTTGTGTCTATATGTATGTCTCAGAAATTGATTTTGTAGTTTCACATTTCAGTTCTGATTTCTGTCACTCTGCTTGTTGCAGTAACATTTCATATCATGACTTAGCACAGTACCTAAGAAAAGATAACTTCCTTTTTTAAGAAGTAATTTTGGAGGTGTCTGTTGAGCCGGAGCAGCTCCTCAGGCACTGAGGTTGATCAGGGTTGGAGGGAGATGCATCTTTTGTGTTGGTTTATGCACATTTGGTGTAAGGCTCCTCTTCCTTTTTCCCCTCTCCTCTTTCCTGTCTCCCTGTTTTCCTCTGCCACATTCTGGACTGAAAGCAAGCACTGACCAGAGCACAGGACCCTTCTGCTGTTCAGCTTCTCCCACACGTGCACATCCTTCCCTGGTGTGTGGGTCTCCAGGTGAACCCAGACAATCCCTGTTGGTTTGGGTTTGCATTGCAAAAAAACAAAACAAACAAACAAAACCAGGGACAAACTGATGTTTGGGAACTTGGTGACTAAATCTTTTCTATTAGCCAAGGACTTTATGATTTCTCTGATCTCTTCTGTTGCATATCCCTCTTTGCTTTCCCATTTTAAAGAGCCAAAGGTGCAAAGCAAGATTGTAGATTGAATATCATCATTTTGCTTTTTAACTCAGTATTTTTTAATTATTTTTAACTTTTTCATACTGAAGAGAATGTGGAGTCAAAATAATAATATTAATGATACTGAATAGTAGGGAGTAATCACTGCCATTTCTACTTGCTCTACTTTTTTAAAATACCACTTCTTATACATTGGGGCATGGAACTGCATTTGAAGGAATTTTGAGATTCCTTTAACACACAGAGATGGGGCATAGGAGTTTGTAAAAATATTAATAGTGATAATAATGCCCATGGAGTGTGGCTAGGGAAGGATGTTGTGTATATAGTTGTAAAATGTTCTAAATTATTCAGACCTATTGTCACCATTCTTGAAGTCCTCAGTTGTGTTGCTGGGTCTTTTATATGCACACAGTGTAATTTATTTAAAGGAACATACACTTTTCCAGGTGGTAGCTCAGCTGTGGACTAGTGACCTGTGTATATGTTTTAAGGTCTTGGGAGCTGGTCTTTTATTTTCTTTTTTTTTTTGTTTTGTTTTGTTTGGTTTTTAAATGAGTTTAGAATTTGGATTGGCTGATATCCTGTTGTTGCTACAGAACCTAAATGTTACTGTCAGTCTGCTGTAAAGCACAGATTGCTCTATTTATTGTAGAAAGTGAGTTTATTTGCTTTCTAGAATTGTTTATATCAGATGGTATAAGAGAAGTAATAAGAAAATCTATGCTTGTAAAGAAAAAGAAAAGCTAATTTTACCTACTATAATCTGACTGTCTGAGACTATATTTTCTCTCTGAGAAATAAATGTTCTAATGTATGGAAAAAAAAGCAAAACAACAAACCACCACCCTCAGAAAGAGTTCTTCCTTGCTATTGTTATCCTGAAATCCAGAACTTACCGTGATGGCTTTTAATTGTCCCAGTGGTGCCAGGTGCAGGGGGCAGAGCAGTGGCAGGGGGTGGCACAGGGAGGGGTTTCTTCCCTGCCTCCACCCTGTCCTGTGTCCCCTGTGCAGAGGGTGACACCACTGGGTGGTCCCACCTTGTGCTGGTTTTGTTTGTAAGGTTTTTTTGTTTGTTTGGAGTTGTTTTAATTATTTCCTCTTTTTAGTTGATGTTAAACTAAGGACCATGCTGTTTTCTCAGAGAAAAACAACAAAAGGCACACACAAACAAAGTCCAAATGCCTGAGAAAAACAAGTCCACCTTAGGAAAGTGATTTCTTGAGATTCTGTTTGGACTTTTATTGGCAACAAGGTTCTGCCTGTCACATCTTGGCCCGGGCCTCACTGCCTGCTGCTTTCCCCCCCTGGGAACAGAAGGGGAACGTGGAGGGCTGAGCCTCCAGCCCTGCCAGGAGTGCCCAGGGTGGCCCAGACCTGTCCCCTCGTGCCCTCCCAGGTCCAGCCCGTGGCACAGCACAGAGGTGCTGCCCAGGGAGGGGAGTGGCCCCTGGAGCCATCCCCAGCTGGTAAAGCACCCACGGCAGGGCTGCCCCCAGGGCTGCTGTGGGGGACAGCAGTGAGAGCTGCTGGGGACAGCCACTGCAGCAGCCAGGACTGTTCCTCCCTGGCACAGCCTGGGGGCACTGCCAGCCCTGCAGCCTCTCCCTTGCTTAGCTGGGAGCTGCCACCCTCCACTGCCCAGCCCCTGAGATGTGTTTCTGTCACACCTCGGGCACAGCCAGCACTGCAGGAACACGTCAGGATGGAAACCTGCAGCTCTGGAACAACCCCCCCAACCTCCAGAGGGTTCAAAACCCTACAGCAGCACAGCCAGGCATCCTCCTCAGGCGTGGAGAGGATGGGGAGAACAAGGGGTTCATGTTATAAATATAAAATCTGCTACAAAGAGAAGACATATATTGTACATCTTTGACCCATATACACAAGAACACAATATACACAGAACGCCTCGGAGGAGCGGGACCTTGTCAGGAGGTTTTTGAGAGATGTTGCTCCCCTACCAGCACCCCCATCAGTCACCAAAAGTTCCACCAGGCTGGCATGTGTCATTCCAGGGGTGTGAGGATGGAGTGGTCGTGGCCCCCGTCGTGCCTGCCCTGCTGCCCTGGGGGAGAGGTAGGCGAAGAGGATGGAGATGAGGGAGGGCAGGCACCAGGGACTCTCCTGTGAACCCACAAAGTGCCTGGGGGGTCTCTGGACCCTCGGAGCGAAGGTAGGCCCTGAGAGAAACTTCTTGCCCTGCCACCCTGGTGGGGAAGGATTCTGCTGCCAGGCAGGTCTCTGATAAGGCATTTTCATCTGGGACTTGGCGCAAACGGTGTCAGGAGAGAGGAGGGAGCAGATGGGGCAGGGCAACGGGAGGCAGCAAAGCTGAAGTGGAGTGGTCCCAGCCAGACAAGCCCAGCACAGGGAGTGGAGAGGACAGGAGGGCTTCGTCTCTGGCTCAGTTTATCTGTAAAGCTTCCCCCATGTTCTCTCTCAGCCCTTCCTGGCGTGAGCCACCAGCACGGAGTGAAATACTGAGAGTTGTCAAATGGCACATCCAGGCGCATGGAGTGGCAGACAGGCACACGTTCAGAGTTAAGACAGGAGTTCAGGTGAGCTTTGTACAGCAAAGAGCAGCTGCTGGCTGGAGTGTCCGAGGAGTCGGGATGACAAAAATGCCACAGTGATCAGATCGGGCCAGGCCAAGGGGCGGGCAGGGGGAGGAGCCACTCTGGGCACCTATCGGCGGTAATGGTTCGGGGCATCTGCAAACATGTACTTGAGTCTGTAGGCTTCAGCCAGCAGCAGCCCAATCTCTTCATTACCCCAGTGTATCGTGGGCAGGTTTTGTAGCAACATCAAAAGGCCCTGGAAGAGGGGAAGATGCTCAGTTTGAGAAGCTGAAGGCAGAGCACAGATCCAGTGCAGGCTTGGGGCTGGCCTGAGCAGTGGCAGCAGCGCTCAGTAACTTCTGCTCACCACACCTGCAGGTCTGAAAGGCTCAGGGACAACATCAACATGTGCTTGGGTCTAGATCTGAACCAGTGAAGCACCCCAAGCCCCTTGGAATGAGGGTGCTGTTACAGGGTTACAGCTGGACACTGATCAGAGCTGCAATGGGATGCTTGAACCCTCCAACAGCTCCATTCTCTGTCCTTATCACCAAGGCTCAAGTTACTTCCAGGCAAATCTCAAACCAGGTGATTTTGAAGCCAGCTCTGACAGCTGTCCACATCCACACTGGGCTCCCAACCAGAGCATTTCCCTCCCCTCTACTTCCCTTCCCCAGGGGATCACCCCCAACCTCAGGGTCTTACTTGGAAGTCTTCCTCATCCAGGATCTCCTTCCGCCACTTGATCAAGAAGGCAGCACAGACGTACAGGTGGAAATGGGAGAATCCTTCTGGCTCTGACTGTGGGCAGCAAAACTCTGGGTGAGCTCCTGCAGCTCAGCTGGAGAACCCCCAGACACAGGTGTCCTACTGGGCCACCCATCACCCAGCTGGCTGCAAACATCCTGGGGCCACTCTGCTTTGTTTCCCTCAGCACCCAGCTGGTACCAGGAGCCCTCTGTCCCCGTGGGGACAGGGACACAGGTGCCAGGGACAAGGCAAGAGGGAGGCAGTGGAGCTGCATACCTGGTAGGTGTCCCAGAGGCGGATGGTGCAGCGCAGGGGCAGCTCCCTCATGAGCAGGTTGTTCATCCAGCGAAAGGCAAACTGCAGGTACTCGACCTCGTACTTCCTAAAGTGATTATGTACCTGCTCTGAAACAGCACATTTCACTTACACACCTGGGGCTCGCAGCTCCTGCACGCTGCTCGCAGCACAGTGGCTTCACACACTTTCAGCTGAGATCTTTTTCTCCCAAATTCCTTCTCTCCTCCCTCTCTGCTGTCACCAGGGGGTTTCTGGCTGACCCTGCCCTGCTCTGCTTCCATGAGTGTGGTAAGAAGTGCCCACCCCTGCCCTGAGAGCTGTCCCAAAGCAGACTCCCCCTGCTGTGCCAATCCTGACCCCACTCCGTGTCACCTACCATCGATCCGGCTGACCAGCTCCTCCAGGGCTTTCACTTTCTTCTGGATCCCTGGCTGTGCAAAGGTGTAATTGTCCTGTGGGAACAGGCCCTGAGTCAGACAGCAGCTTGAACAACAGCTAGAAATGATCAAACCCAGATCAGCAGCTGGACAGTTGGGGTGAGATGATCATGAGCCAAGGAGACAGGGCTCTTGAGCACCAGGACTGTGCCTGCTGTGAGCTCCCTGGTCAGGATGGGGCCATGTGGACAGCCACAGCACCCACCTCCCCAGGATTTCACTGATTACAGGATTCAGTGAAGAAACTGAAGTCACTGAAGTAGCAAAACCTCCCTCAATACTGGAGCATGCAGAATACTCCCCCAGCCAGGGAGAGGAGACAGCCACGCTGCCACCCCAGCGAGGGCAAAGGAGCTGCTGTGGCCCCAGAGCTCACCTGGATCCCATCCAGCAGCTTGCTCATGCACCAAAAGCTGTCGGCTTCGATGCTCCGTAAAACGTCCTGGGACAGGTTTGTCACATCAAAGTTTTCCACATCCTCCTCTGCAAAACAGAGAGGGAAGAGCATCAGGGAGATGGGGGACACCAGGGATATGGGACAATCCCAGGGCTTTACCAGGCCAAAGCTTCAGGAGGCTCTGCAACACTCAAAGTCAGGAGACACAAGTCTGGCCCTCCTGGCCTGATTGACCCAGCAGTTCCTCCCTTTTCTCCTTGGCAAGAGAGCACCCACCAGGCTGCTGTCACAACACTAAATCAGATAAATAACAGGGCTAAGCTGGCCCATTTCCAGTTTCAGAGGCTCAGAAATCCTGGCAAAGCAACCAGGGAGCAGAGATAGAGCAAGAGGTCAAAACACAACTCCAGCCAGGCCCAGGCACTCTGGAGGAAGAGCACATCATCCCCTTCTCCAGCAGAGCAAGTTCTCCTCATGCCAGCATTTCACAGCACTTCAAACCCCAGAGTCAGGAGTGCTTAGAGCAGCAAGTGTCACTTACCAACGTGCTCAGAGAGGAACACAACAAAGAAGGGGGTGACCAGGTCGTTGATGCCCTGCACATAGCCGCTGGCTGGGTGGCGGATGGCCCAGATAAACAGGATCCTCTCAAAAATCTAGAGAAGAACCAGGGAAAGCAGGTACCTGCATTAGCCAAGCACGAAGGGAAGGCAGAAAAGCATAATTCTAAGCTCAGGGAGTGCAGACCATGCACTGCCAGGCTTTTCTGTAGCAGTAAGGTAATGTTAGAAGCATAGAAGTCCTAGGAGAGGCTCTGTGTCATCCACAGATGCCACATGCAGGCCAGCCAAGACAGCCCAGGCTCCTCATCAAAACCTCTGCCTGAAGAAATGCAGACCCAACTTCTCAAGACCCAGACAGCTTAATATCCACAGGACAGGGCAGAGCAGCCTCCCTGGCTGAACATCAGGTGGGGAGATGAGGTTCAGCACAGTACTTCCAGGAAAGCACCACAGATCAGGATACTTCCCACCAGGGCAGCCTCCCTCACAGCCACCAACCTTCCCAAGCCCTGGACACCATGCTCTGACACACACACTGAGCTTGTTTCCAGAGAGGACAGCTGCCCATACCTCCTGGCCACCTCCTGAACCCATCCCTGCCCAGGTTTCTCCCATAAAAGAGGTTTTGAAACAAAATAGAACTATCCTGTGTTCTAGTTCAAATGCCTTCAATTTGTCTCAAAAGCTTCAGTTTTTTTATCCAGCTCTTGGCTACTTCTTGCTAAAGAAGAGATCACCTCATAACCCCCGAGCTCCAGGTTTGATATCTTTCAGAAACGTGGGACAAGACCAGACAGTTCCAGGAGGTATTTGCATCAGGAGTGTCAGGCAGGGAAGTTTCCCCACAAAGTTAACTCCCCAGGAGCAGTGCTGGCCTCACTCCACACACACATCCATGGCAGGCGCAGGCCAGGAGCTTCACCCCTCTTACCTCCTGGACAAGTGGCTGCTGGAAGAGGGGAATGAGTGGGTTGGTCCTTGGAATGTCAATGTGGATCTGGAAAAGAAGGTGGGTTACACACACCAGCTGTGCTTTCCAGGGGCACAGTAACTTGTGACAGGCTAACAGGGGAATCCACCATGAGTGTTCCCCCAGGCAAGAGCTGACAAGGTACAGATGACAGCTGTACTGAGAAAATCATCTACAGTCTGCTCTGCTCATGTGCAGGCAGGTAGTTCAGAGCTGAAATTCTCCTAAATTAGATCAGTTTAGGAAAAGCTTAAACTAACAAGTGCCTTTCCCCAAAGAGAAGACTCCTCCTTGGTACAGCCAGAGCAAGTCCTGGCAGGACTCCAGCATGGGGACAAGCAGCAGCAGGAGGGAGGAGAGGGCTCTGGGCCAGGCAGGAGGCAGGAGCAGGGCTCCTACCTGTCTGTAGGTGTCCTGGTGGTGCTCCTCGTTGCGGGAGTCGTAGTACTGCTGGATGAAGCCGAAGTACTCCTCCCTCTTCCTCTGCAGGGTCAGCTTGCGGCGCTCCGAGTTGGCCGGGAGGTAGCCCTGCGTTGGGAGAGCTCAGCTCAGGGCAGACCCTCCTTCTCACCAGCCCAAAATCCTGCCAGCTGTGCACAAACATCGGGCACACAGCTCAGGAGCTGGGGAAAGAGCTTTCATGGAGTTTGGCCTTCCTAAGCCCCTGAGCTTGGAGTAATCCAACTTCATGAGGTTCAGTTCTCCAGAGGAGAGTGACCCAGGCAGTCCCCACACCAGGTGGGCTTTGAGCTCCAGGAGGATGCAGCAGTGGAGCTCCCTGATCAAAAATCCCTACAGCTCACCTGGAAGCTGGGCAGTGGGAACACACAGGCAAAGCTGGCTATGGGACACAGGCAGGTGTGGGAGCAGTGTCCCTGGGGTGGCACAGTGCTCCCAGAGTCCAGGGTCACAGCTCCCAGTACTCACTGACAGCAGCCTCCACGTCACAGGCCGGACCTCTCTGGGCACACCAGGCCAGCTGCACTTCCTCAGCTCATCTGCAAACGGACAGTGGTGGCAATGGATTAGATCCTAGGCACGTCCAGGCACCACTACACCTAGAAGGAGAGGAAAGGCCAGTCTGCTCCTGCAGGCTCTGGAGACAGTGAGCCTCCAGGAAGGCTCCCACACGAGCAGTGACTGGGGATGTGGGTCTGCTGCAAGGAGAGCAGAGGTGATTTCAGCCCAGCTTCCAGGGAGCTGCAGGATCACCAATGTGCCAGGACCTCCTTCTCATGCAGAGACAGCCCCCAGTGATCCCAACCATCATGTGCAAGACGGAGAATGATTAGGGACAGACAGGGAGGGGCAGGAGGACATCACCATCTGCCAACAGGGCGATTCCTGCGCACACCCATCTGGCACAACTGCAGGCAGTGGTTTTTTCCACCCCGAAGCAGACCCTGCAGGCAGCAGGCCCCTTCTGCCCAGCCCAGCCTCACTGTGCCCCACTCACCCAGGTCGGTGTTGTGGCTGGAAAGGAGCTGCCGGAACTTCTCCAGGCGCGTTTTCTCCCGCACGGTCATAGGGGGAGCCCCGGAGGCGTTTTGGTCAGAGATGCGAGCCACGAGGGGAATGACAGGCCGGAGGGGCAGGGACTGCTGCTTCTGCAGGGGGCTCCGCACACAGCCCTCCTCTGGCAAGGACAGAGGCTGCACTGAGCTGGGCATGGAGCTCCCACCTCACTGCCACAGCCACTGCAGGACACTGCACATTCCACCTTTCTGCCCCTCAGCACCACTGGCCACTCCAATGGATCAGCAGTTCACAGGCATCTGTGGTGCCTCTTCCACCACTTCCCCCCATTTCTGCCTCCTTTCCTTGCTCCTCCATCCAAACACCAGCCTGCAAGTGGACCAGACTTCCCTCCACACAGGGAAGGACACAGGAGACAAGGCAGAACTGACGTTCAGATCTGCTCTGCTCTCCAGATCCAAACAGCAATGGAGCTGATTCCAGAGCAGAGAGAGGAGCTGATGGGCTGCCAGTGCCATCCTGAGGTACTCTCAGTGCACAGGCAGGCAAGGCAGTGAGCAGGAGCTGCTGCTGCCCAATTCCCTGCCCCAGCTGTGTCAACACCACCTCACCCAGGCCTTTGCTAAGAGCAGCACATCAAACCACCGTGGAAACAGACAGTGAGAACTTAACAGATCTTAAAACTTAGCACCCAGAACATGGAATACTCTGGGGCAGACACTGAGCAGCTGAGGACAAGCATTAAAGCCAGGCCTCTGAAAATGGCTCCTTGGAGTACAGGATACCAAAAGGAAGAAAAGCCTCTTGCCCATACTGGGAGTAGCAACGAGCAGCTGAGTTCAGTGGCCAGGCAAGAGAGCACTGGAGCAGCAGGCTGCTCCTGGAGATGGCTCTTACCAGAGGTCCTGGAGAGCTGGGCCTCGCTGCTGGACTTGATGACCTTGCAGTTGGTGGGCAGGTCCCCCAGGGCAGGCTGGCAGCGCTCGGGCTTGGCCCGCAGCTTGCTGTGGTTCTCCAGAACCTGCGCTGCCGTGGCCTTGGCCACCTTAGAGTTCAGAGTTTGCAAAGAGGACGAGGAGGAGGAGGAGGAGAAGTCCTCGTCTTCGTCATCCCCGATGTCCCAGGCGTCGCTGGTACTGCGGGCAAACTCGTGGAAGCTGGAGGCCTTCTTGCTTTTCATGGGCAGCCCGGCGGCCTTGGAGCGGTCCTTGATGAAGCTGTGAGCCAGAGCAGCAGGATCAGAGCCCTGCTGCTGCTCCAGCTCGTGTGCTCCTTTCCCCACGCCCTCGCTCCTATCAGCCAATCCCTCTGTCCAGCCTCCCTGCTCCTCCTCCCAGACCTAAGGAATATGTTAAGTCTCCTGCTGTCAGGAGTGGCTGTCACAGGCTGCTGTGACAGCAGTCTGAGGCCACAGTGGCAGCACACAGCTGGAGAGGTGCCAGCCTTCCTGCCTCAGAAGGACAAACAAAAAAAGGAGACAGGTACAATTCCCCCAGCTGTCCCCCACCCTACACAAAACAGGTAGATTATCACCCAAAAGAAGATCTTGCAACCTGGAGAGAGGCATGTCAGAGGGCAGCCAGAGCAGGTCTCCTTCCATGGGCACTCCCAGAACAGCTGCAGCTGCTCCCAGCAGCCAGACCAGCCTGGGTCTGTCCTCAGGCACAGAAGGAATTTACTCTTTAGCTACAGGAGCCAAAGTCCAGCACCTGAAGCAGGGAACTTTCACCACTGCACAGGACAGGGACAAGAGGCAGTTCAGACCAGCAATTCTGCCTTTTCCTGCTGGGAACACTGCTGCAGTTCTACCTCCCTTTCCCTTAATTCCTCCAGCTCCAGAGGAGCAGAAGGATCAGACACTGCTAAAAAATAAAATAAATCTGTTTCCTTTGATGTGGGTGTTACTGTATGGATTTCTGGCCATAAAGGGCACCAGCAGATAAGCTCTCCCTGCAAGATTTTGCAGAGCTCAAGGCAGTACCACACCCTTGCACTGCTGTCCTTCTCTGTTGCAATATCACAGTGCCAGGGATGCTGGAGACCTGCACCTACTGCACAGCTGCCAGGCCTGTGCTGCATCTGCAGCAGACACACACTCACTTTTTGGTGAGCCGGGAATCCAGCGGAGGATGCTGTGCTCCATACACAGGCTGAATGCTGCAGGAAGGGAAAGGAAAAAGAACAAGATGCTGTAAAAAGAGGTCCTGCAAATAACCTCAGCCTCAACTGGGCTCATGCTTCTTGCCTGGTATCAGGAGCTGAATAAAAAAGCCCAAAAGCAGCTTCAAAAACCTTCTAACTTACAAGCCTCAGATCCAAAGTGCCACATGCAGATGAAGATTTGTTCTTTGCAGGAGCAAAGAGAAGCCTTGTTTAAACTCTTAGGCCTGGTCCAGCCTGAGCTGGGATTTGAGATCTGCACCACCAGCTCACTCCACGCGTCCAGGTGTCTCAGCCTACCTGCTGCACACGCTGCCATTTGTTCTCTTTTCCAGTCTGGGGAACTCACCCTCCCCAGGACAGGGAAGGACTCCAGGCAGTGACACTGTACTCCCCCATGGATGTTCAGAGGGTTTGAAGCCCATGCTGGCTCTCAGGATCACTGCCAATGCCACGGAGAAGGAATTCCTGCTACAGGACGTGGTTTGACTCAGATCCAAATCCTGCTTTAATCAATGACTTCCTATGTGGCCTGAAATGAGTCACCACATCTTGGTCCCTGGTTCCTTGGGACAAGGAGCCTGAGGGCTCCAGGCCCTACAAGGGGAGCATCACCTCAGAGAGGAGCTACTAAAAAAAAAAAAGTTCATCACTGTTTTTACAGACTCTGGAGGTGAGACAGGGATCCTGAGCTATCACCTGCATTGGAGGAACTATTGACAGCCACCCACCCTGGAAAACAACCTCTGGAAAACAAGTGCTGCAATGCCATGGCACAGACAAAGGCCCTTTCAGAGCTGGCACACAAGGAACAAGCTTCTCTTGGGTCAATAGAGCTGGCCTGGTTTCTAGGAGCTGCAGATGGTGGCCGGCAGTAAAACCAGCAGGCCAGCCATGGAGGAGAGGGATGGCAGCCTGGTGCAGCTGGGAACAAGCTGAGGATGCAAAAGCAACAGGTCCAGCTGGCAGGGCAGAGATGCAGAGAGCCAGGGAAGAGGCTGGGAACAGCCACAGCACAGAGAGGTCGTGGGGGAGCAGCCAGGCAGGGGTGGGCTCACCACTGCAGTGGCTGTCCCTCGAGGCTGGAAGTCCTCAGGGAATTTATCCATCGAGGATTAAGCCTAGGACAGAGGGTGGTGACTAATGAGCACCTGGAAGTCAGGACTGCAATTAAGCAGAGGCACCTCCACGGGTTGACATAGCAAAGAGATGATGAGGAGGAGGAAGAACAAGCCCTCCAGATCAGCATTGCTGCCCAGTGACTTGTGGCAGCTGCCTGCAGGACAGGAGGCAGCAGAACCTCCCCCATGGCCAGGACCAAACTCAGGGTCCCAGCATGTCCAGCCAGGGCTCCTCCTCCCTGTCAGGGACCCGAGGCTGCCACAGGGAAACTGCTTTGGTTTCCTTCACTATTCCAAGGAAGGATGTGTGTTAGGGAGAGGAGGGGATGTGGCAGCCAGTGCTGGGGGAGGAAACCCTTTCCTGGGGTTGTGAATCAGTGTTTGATACCATGGCAGAGGTCCCACCTGCACACAGCTCTTTTGGAAGTCTCACCAGCCAGACACTCCCCAGGAAGAACCTGAAGCTGGTCTAAGCTGTGCTCCCAGCCTGCTGGATGAGTCCCCAGCTCTGTCCCAGTCAAACTCTTTGGACAGGCATTTCCTGTTCCCTGGGTGTTCAGTGACCTGAGGTGTGAGGGACAATGGCTGTGCTCCTGTGTGACACCTGCAGGACCAGCACAGGCTGTGGGTTATTGACACTGCAGCAGAGCACAGCCATGAAACACCACTGCCCCTCTGGACACACAGCACATCTGCTTCAGCAGGCTGATTCTCCCCTTCTGAAACAGCATTTAAATAACCCCTGGCTGCCCATCTCTCTAAAGAGCAGGGAATAAACAACACATCACAGAGGACAACATGCCAGAGCACTCAGCCAACACATCCCTAGAAAATTACCAGGCAGAGAATTCCCAGTGCAAAAAACCACAAGACAGCACTGGAAAAACAAAGCAGCACTTAGCAGTTCTAACTTCCACCTAAAATCCACCCTAAATCTACAGGGACCAAAAGCCAATAAACTTTATTAGCAAATAAAAGCTAATACAACTAAATGACCAAACACACAGAGTGTCATGGAGAAGGAAGCTAACACAGTATCCAAGTCCCTACAGAGCCTCCCTCTGCCAGATTGTCAGGGGAAAGGAAGGAGAGAGCCAAGAATCTGCACAGGAGGGTCTCTGCTCTCAAAGCTCAGACTAAAGAGAGGGAGGGTGATGTCTGGGGGCCATGGATGCAGGACATCCCACCTCCACCCGCAGCCAGGCTGCTGTTGGTGGCTGTCCCTGGAAAAAGCAGCACCCAGGAGGCAAGAGGCTCCTGGGGCAGGAGATGTGCCAGGCAGGAGAGGGGAGAGCGCTGCCAAAGCCTTGCCCTGCAGAGCGCCTGGGGCAGGCCAGACCGGTTCCCCCGCTTGCAGCTTCCAAGGCAAAGCTCAGAAATCACCCAAAGGAGAAGAGAGGTGCTGCCCACGACCCTGCTGACACCTCCGGGTGAGAGGCAGGAGCAGCTGGGAAATAACCCAGGGAAAGGCCAGGGTTTTGCTCCCACAGGGGCAGCAGAGGAGGAACAGAGAGCCCCTCGCTCTCCCTCAGCTCACCACAGCCATGGATTGTCCAGCCAGCCCGAAGGAGCTGCACAGAGATGGGCAGATGGGGAAAAACACTTTAGAAAGAGAAATTTAACTGGCCCAGCAGGATTTAAAACCAACTAAGCATTTCAGACTGCACCCATACCCCGGGAGGCGAAGGGCAGGGTTCAGATAAGGCAAATGAGAGCAGAAGTGAGGAGCAGAGGCAGCAAAAGCTCTTGAGAAGCCTCCACAGAGACCTGATGCCCTCTTTCCACATCAGCCCTGCTCCCAAGGCGTTGTAGGGAGCCCCTCCTTCACCAGCACCATCTTTTCTGCCTAAATACCATGTCAATCACACATTTCACTTGTTTCTGCCATCCCTAGGGGAAGCAGGGCACCACAGCCGGAGGAACTGAGGCAGGGCAGGGACAGGAGGAGCCCTCACAGCCCTTCCCTGGAGCACAGGGGGCCAGGAGCGACACCCACCCAGGACAGGGGAACGTGTGAGCGGGGACACTGCTGCCAGCCAAGGCGACGCCTCCAAGGACTCGGGAAGGATGAGTTTCCCTCAGAATCTGTGGAGAGGGAGCGGCACAGCCCTGGTCTGAGCCTGCCCCAAGAGGCCTCCAAGCAGCCCGGTCCCGCGGGGGCACACAGGGGTCCCTCGGCGCCTGCCCTGCCCTGCCGGTGAGGGAGCAGTTCCGTCCCTTCCCTTGTCCCTCATACACTGAACCTTCCACCGGCCAATTCCCGTCCCACACCCGGGGCGCCGCTGGCACCCCCCGCTCCAGGCAGGAACCCCGGCTCCTCAGCCGGGACAGATCCCCCGCACCCCCGAGCCGCACAGGGTTAGTCTGGGCTCCAGCCCCTTCCCCCTGCGGAGCGCGGGGGGCGCGGCCCTCACACCCCCTCCCGGGGCTCACCTGCCCGGCAGCTTGGCGCTCCGCTTCCAGAACTGCCTGCCGCTCTCGGCCGCCATGGCGGAGGCGGGGCGGGCGCGGCGGGCCGGCCAGGCCGCGAGCGGGCAGCGGG